GAACTTTACTTCTATCTACGTCTACATTTAAAACTGTTAATTTCTGGTGTTCTTCATTAGTTCACACCTGTGGAGAAACATATGACCCGAACTTTACTTCTATCTACGTCTACATTTAAAACTGTTAATTTATGATGTTCTCCATATAGTTGTGGAAGAACGTAAGACCAGAACTTTGCCTCTATCTACGTCTACATTTAAAACTTTTCACTAATGTTGTTCTCCAAACACTTCACATCTATGGAAAAACATAAGACCCAAACTTTGCCTCTAAAAATATCAGTGTTTTTGTGTATGTATCTTTCTATAGACATGTATAACTCAGATTATGAACAATTGAATTTGTATAAATTATTCTGCTGTGTCCTTGTAGTTATTGCTCAGAAATTATTTATAAGATTGAACTCTTTTCTGTGCAGTTTCTGTATTTTATTCCTTTCAATATTAATTTTGAACAATGCCATGCATTTTTTTTATCTTGTGTAAATAACGTATTTTGGATAATTATTGATTGAGTCTTTAAGAGCAAATAACTGCACTTGATTACAATTTTAATCTATTTTATTGATTATCTTTGTAGTATTAAGGTATTTTCAAACTACTGACAGTAAGAAAGTATATTAAAATTAAACTTTCAGTATTAGTGCATATAAAAATCTGGTCTTTAAAAGTAGAGTGAAAAGTTCACATTTCTGCTTACTTTATATAACTAATGCATTGTTGCAGTATACTATATTAAAATATTGTCTTGAACATGACAGTATGGCTGTAACTTAACTACAGAATTATTTTAATTTGTTATTAGAAGTTTTTATTATATGTCGAATCTAGTTTATCATATTTTATTACTCCAACAAAAGCAAATTGTCATTTGCTATATTCAAAATCATATCATTGGAAAATATTGTGGATATTTTGAGAAAAACCTGTTTAATAATTTATAGATAAAGTTTCCAGAAAGAGGTAATTATCAAATATTCAACAATATTTTATTGGTTTAATTAGAGGCTCCCAAGATGCAGACAAATTAGCAGCTGAAGGTTGAGAGTATATGATTTTCATATTGTAGTTAATTGTATTAATACAAGATGTGAAATATTATAACTTTTCTTTTTGGGTGCATGAATAATAGTTATTCTGTAATCAAAGAGAATAATAAATACTTTTACAATTTCATAATGTAAGCACCTGATGGTGACTTTACAAACTACAGTAGTCTTTATAAATGTCTTAGAATACATCATAGGCATCAGAGCAAACCTCAAGCTGGGAGGAGTGTGTGTGTGCTGAAGTGGCCCCTGTATGGATATCATTGATGAGACAGATTGTTTCTGTTATTTGGCCCTGAAACTGTGGGGGCAAAAAGACACCTCTGTCCCTATTTTGAAATCTGTCTTCCTCCCCCCTTGCTCCAACACCTAAGGAATACATATACACATAACATTTACTTTTAAACTTTATATACCATTTCAGTTGTTTCTCTCAATCTTAACATAATAATAATAAGTTGAGCTAGATCTATGTTTTCATCTGGTAGTCTTTACAAAGGTGATACTTGGTTTCATAAACAAGACAAAATAACACTACAGATAACACCTGCAAGTCCTGTATATTCAAAGCAGTTTTCCACCAAAAATTGTGAAGATATGGTTTCAGATTGATATTTTGTTTGCCACTGGACTTTCCCAAAAAAATCTTTATTATTATTATTCAATATTACATACAAATTGAATGTAATTAGTTCTGCATATAAGCATCTAGACATATAACAACCAAAAGTATCTGAAAAATATTTGCCTGTAATACTAAATGCAATGTGGCCAGGTGGTTAGGGTACTTGACTCGCAATCTGCAGGTCACGGGTTCGAATCCCCATCGCTCCAAAACATGCCCATCCGGTGTCTGGACTAGGATGCCAGTCCTACTCCCGGATACTCACCTTCCACAGAATTTGGAGGTGTGAGAAACACCATACGAAACTACTACTAAATGCAATGTGGTTAGGGTACTTGACTCGCAATCTGCAGGTCACAGGTTCGAATCCCCATCGCTCCAAAACATGCCCATCCAGTGTTCGGACTAGGATGCCAGTCCTACTCCCAGATACTCACCTCCCACAGAATTTGGAGGTGTGAGAAACACCATACGAAACTACTACTAAATGCAATCATGAGTTCAAATACTATAATGGCAAATAATAAAATCTATCTAAACCTGTCATATGCGATTTTTAGAATAATTTTAAACTTATTTTTTCTGCACAATCCTTCCAAACAAGATGTCTATTTTGGGTTTCATACAAGAGGTTTTACATAGAAACTGGCATTTTAGGTATATGATTTACCTTTCACAAGTCAGTGCCTAGGAATTTTTTTAAATTTAATAATGTTTAAAAGTTTTAGTTAGTATTGCATACAAACAATAATTTGAATAAAAGTAACAATTTTAATTCTGAAAGCTGGAAAGCATTGGAGACTAATACGTCAAAATTTTGTGATAAAAAATCATGTAAACTACAGGAGGATTTTTGTTCAACACAAGAATCTATGAGATAGGTTCTACCCTCAGTAGGTAAATTGTTTATAGTATTAGACCAAACTTTTGTAATAACAATCACATAAACTACAGATTTTTTTCACACTAATTTGTCCATTTTGGATTCCAGGTCACAGATGTGTAAACATGACATTTCAGATCTAACTTTTGTCTGCGAGTTGACCAACCCACAGTGACTCAGCAGTAAGTCAATTGGGTTTCAATACCCATGATGAGCATAAATACACATAACACATCATATAGTTTTGTGCTTAAAATCAAACAATCTCCCATGAATCACTGCCCAAGAGCCCTTTCATACGATACCAGAACTCATCAGTTTGGCTGGATGATGAGAGACAAAAGTCTTTGTTCCCCTTGAGAAAGGTTACTGCAAAGTTGCACATGCTATATATAAAAATAAACAACGACCTTTTTCACTGGCAGGTCGTTGATGTTCCAGTATTATGTATATTATGTTTTCTCAGTCTGGGACATGTTTACGGAAGGATATAGTTTAAACAAGTCTTGAGAGAATAGACAGCTTTTAGCTATCCGTCATGCAAAATCAAATGCACACACTTGTGATAGCAAAAACGATTGTGTTCATTTTATTTCTTGCATTTTGTCCAGTATCTCATTTTCACAAACTCGGTCAGATTGAGGGAATTCAGAATTACTTGATAATAGATTTCCTGGTCGAATCCCCTTTCTTGTCACTTTTGGGGGAAAAAACAGTTTTACCGGAGAATACCACACAACTACAGTAGCTCTAAATAAGTAAATACAATAACTAATTTTATTGTACAACAATTCAACGTTGTATATTAATTCTTAATAATAAGCAGTAATTCTTTTGTTTTGGGGTTAAATTCGTGTTTTGTTTAGGTTTTCCTTGCTTCAGTCCTTTTTTTTTTTCAGACATTTTCTTTACCAATCTTACCAAAAATTCCGATTAAATAGATGTAGTCATGGTAATCCTCCCAGAAGACGTTCAGTATCCGAGTTATGGAACAATCTTACGTGATCGCCAACCACTAGACCTATTTTCCTTTTGAAATGTATAAAACATGATGAACGACGGGGAGTATTATTCATACTGTTTTATGCAATTTATGTACGCTTACAATGGACTCGAATTTAATTATAATGAAAGGACACCAAAAAGTTCTTACACTTGAAAGCCGAAAGTGTTTTTTTTTTTCCATCATAACATGCCCTCTGGTGACTCGGTGTAAATCTGTGGGCTTTTAATGCTAAATGTCGGGTTTCGAAACGCGTGGTGGGCAGAAGACAAATAGCCATTGTTTATCTTTGTGCTTAACAACAAAGAAATAAATGCCATTGTATTTAATATTACCTCCAATGCTACAAAAGAAAATGTGAATATTGTTACGACAGCGGAGGTCACGTGACGCTAGTAACACGTCATGCGCTTCTAGAACGTTCATGAAACCTCGAGAGGTTACTAGATATGCGGTATTCTTGTATATAAGCCGCCAAGAAGTGACA